TTTTTTTCAGTGTAATCCAAACCCTTAAAAGTCATGAATATATGCGGAACACAATTTAAGATATTTTGGATGAAAACCAGGTGGCTTGTGACTGTCCCATTGACTGCCAAGTAAATTACACTGTCAAGGTCCAGAAAAGTATGAAAGACATCGTCAGAATAGTCCATCTGCCATCAGTGGTTCAACCGTAACGTTATGAAGCGACGAGAATACTTTTTGTATGCGAAGAAAACAAAAATAACGACTTTATTCAACAATTCATCTCCTCTGTGTCTCTCCGCATCACCATAGCGCTATTTTGGAGAATATCCGCTGAACGCAAGCAGCGTACGCTCTTATGTGTCAGCCGCGCTGCACAGATGAGCTGTTTTCATTCAAATCAAAGCGTAAATACACGTAGAAAAACGTATCCTTGTGTCGTGGCTAGACTTGTGCCGGTATTCGGTAATGCGATATATCACGGTAATGAATATGCACAATATTGTTATCGTGGGCACTTCTAAATACCGTGAATAATTATATATTACAAATTATTCCGAATTTTGAATGCATTTTAAGAATACTTCTCCCATAAACTGGTCAAAATGCACAACACTGCTGCATGCTGCATGAAAGAGCGTGCGCACTCTGATGTAAACAAGCGCGAAACAAGTGCGGACGTGAAGCACATGGCGGAACATGTGAGAGACGCTCTGACACAGAATAGCGTACGCTGCTTGCATTTCATATAGTTAATATCACACGAAGAATGCCGTTTTTTTCTCCAAAAGTGATTAGTTCAAGTTCAAGTTTATTTCTAAAGCACATTTAAAAACAGCTAAAAGCATTAAGAGACTTACGTTTTAGACCCCATATTGCCTGCTTTTGTTCTATTTCGCCAACAAAAATCATTCCAAACAAAGCCACAGCACTGTTTTGCGTCTCTGAGCAACATGATGGTGTTTCGTTCCTGAATGAATCAACCGTTTAAATGATTCGGTTAAATCGCAATGACTCACTTATTAACTGTGACTTGCTGCCACCTGCTGGCGGTTTTAACTTCACATTTAAAGTATCTTTTAATTTTTTTAATAATTTCAAACATCAGTTTTGAATGTTTTATGTTTAAAATATCAAAACATTATTTATGCATTTGTGACTGCAGGTTAAAGTATCCTATGTCCCTCTGAGCTGCATTAAACCGTGTATAAATGCATCTAAATGCCACTTCAGATGCAGCTTCTGTGTTTTCTCTGCATTGCAAAGATGAATTCGGTTGATACTGATTTCATTTGCTTGGTAACAGCACAAATGCAAGAATTTGACTCAAAAGATGATGCACACTTTTAGAAAAAAA